TGTATTTATTTCAAAAAAAGAGGCACACAAATTCTATTTTTTAAATTATATATTATACTTATTTATATAATTATTTATCAATGAAAGTTTATCAAAAAAAAAAAGCTAGTTTTATCACTAGCTACTCCTATTTAATTTTTTGATTTGGAATTCTAAAAAAAAAAATAGAATCTTTTAAACTCTCACTTATTTTGAAAAAAAAGTTAATCAGAAATACCAATAAGATAAATTCATAAGGTTTGCAAAATTTATTATATTTGTAGTCTACATAATTTCTTTGTATTTACAACTATGACATTATTGTAACAACTATGTTTTCATATTAATTCTAACTTTATCCTATATTTATTCTATATTTTTTATTATTATCATCACTCGCCAGTAAACTATACTTTTCATACATTCCTAATATATAATATAATAGAGATAACGGGCCTTACTCATCTATAATAATAAAAATAAAATCAGTTTAACAAATATAAAGCTCATGCTGGCATAAATAAATTATAAAATAGAAAATTTATGATATATAAATTTATCAGGTAAGAGTATATATGTATTAATTGAACTGTAAATAAACAGATAATTATGTTCTATATCATTTTAGAATTTAAATCAGATCAGAATTGACATGTGTTGTTTATGAATCATGAAATATCATATATCTTTTTTGAATCAGTATCCATTTACTAATTAAAAAAAAAAATTACAATAAAAAAAAATGAGTAAAAAGCAAATAATAATAAATTACTATATGATTGCCTAAATGCCAAATACTAATTAAATTGCATACATTATATGGATACATTCAAATATTTATATATATTTAAATATATAATTAAAAATTTTTGCATTTCTCATGTAGTATACATCTACATTTTCTTGAACATAGTGACACAATTTGTTTTTCGACATTGGGAAGAATCTAGTCAGGTGTTTTGGCTTGAACCAATATAAGTTGCAATCTTAATATTATTAAAAATTATATAATTAACTAGTTTATTCATCATTATTATGAGTTGGATGTATAAAGTTTTGTCTTGTATCTGCTTCTGGGAAATATAGCAGTATTAAACTTGAATCTAATAAGATAAACCTTTTTTTAAAAAAAACAAAAATAATAAAAATAAAAAATAAAGAAAATTTACCTTTTTCTAGGTTTTCTTATAACCACTATGCTCAGTTGTTTGATGGGTAGCACAAATAAATTTGTAAAAATTTTCAATATAACAAACTTGTGTTCTCAAGTTATTTTTATTTTGTTTAAGCATATATAGTTTCTCTATTACACCAATATAAAGAATTTTTAAAGTATTAACTACCTAATATTTAACTTCAGATTATATTAAAGGTTTGTATTTTTTAGGATATTTAGACATTTGTTATAATAGTTTCTATTCATCAATCTTCACTTATTTTTCTTTTGTCAATAAAGGTCTCAAATATTTAGTCATAGGTTTACAAATACAAAGCTGTATTCTTGCGAATTCATAAGTGTTTAATAAAATATATAATACAATCTACCCTCGTTTATATCAACCTATTTGAATTAGTTTAAATTCATATTGATAGTGTCATTAACAAGGGATTATAACAAAGTTGACATATATGAGGGAATTTTAATATATAAAAATTTGTAAAAATTCATTTTATAGCTTAGATTGATATTAACGAGGTTGATATCAACAAGGGTAGACTGTACAAGGTAGTAAAGATCAATTTAAAAATAAGAACTAAAAAATAAAACATTTGATAATAAAAAATTATCTTTATAAATATCAATAAAAATATTAATGCAAATATCAATATAATTATTAATAATTATTATCATCATTAATAAAATACTCAATTATTATTTTTGTTATTAATAAATAATATAATATATAATTATTATCATAGTTTATTAAATTGCTGTAATCTCAAGATTAGCAACACAATTGGCCTAGGTCATTCATGATCAGTAAAAATTAAGAAATGACATATATTAATTCTAAACCAACTTAAATTCTGAAATGACATGGAACAATTATACATCAGGAGCTTTAGCTCAGAATGATTACCTTATTTCACAGTTCTTATTTAAACTTCCATATTATTTTTTCACATTTATTGTCTAGATCTTGAACTGTTCCTGATTTTAAACCAAATTTTTCTTTTTTTTTTTTTTTTTTTTTAGCTACAACTATATAAATTTCTGTTTTTTTTTTTTTTTTAACCATATCAATTTAAAATTCAATTTACTTTATTTAATAAGTTAAAAGCTTAAAATTCTTTAATTTGCAAAGTTATTTATTTAACTATAATACATATATTCTAATTGCATAATATATATTTATCGCTCTATTTGCTATTTAAATATAATTTTAACATTTCTAGAATTATGAAACTTGAAAATATTGGTAGTTCCATTCTTTGTTATTTCAATATTTTAGATTTGAGCTTGAGTATTTTTGAATGGAATTCATTTCTTTGATATTTCAATATGTTGAGTTTAGTCTTGACCATTTTTGAATAAAACTTAATTTTGATTATTTCAATATTTTGGGTTTGGTCTTGAATATTTCTGAATAGAATTTAAATAGCTTGTTCAACATTGCATGAATTTCTTCATGTATAAGCTTTGGTTCTTTTTTTGCAAATAGTTTGAGTTTGATATAAAACTTGTGTAGCAGTAAAATTAAATTCATGCTGCATAACTGAAGAATTATCTTGTATAACTTGTTATGTAGTTTGAAATTCTTTATACTATGTGATTTGAACTTCATGTTATATAACTTAAGATTTTTTATATTGTGTAGCATGAGATTCATTTAGTTGTATAACTTAAAAACTCTCTTGCTGCATAATTTGAGATTTTTCTTGTTGCATAACATGAGATTCTTCTTGTTGTATAACTTGAGATTCTTCTTGTTGTATAATTTGAGACTTCTCTTGTTGAGATTTTTCTTGTTGCACAATTAGAAATTCTTGAAGTACATTAGTAACAAGATAAAATTTTTAAGCTGTTGTTTATTATTCGAAATTTTGTAAGTATGTAGTCTATCAGTTGAACAGTAACCCAAAAATTGCATCATTTCATACTCATTAATATTAAGATCTAATAAAAGTTGAATAGTAGTTCTCCTTTCCAAATGATTAGTAATTCTTTGATCAGTAATATTAATACCTAAGATATGTACAATTTCTTTTATCATATTGCTTAAAGTATTTTTTCTAATTTATCTTTATTAAACCAGTTTCTATTATTAATTTCTTGAGCATTTCTTGTTAATTGCAAGTAAAAATATTCACATGCATCTAATAGATATAAATTAACATAAATATGAAGATCTTGAATTAGCTTAAACTTATTATTAAATTGATTAGCAAAAATATAAATTTGGCAGCTAGTAAATCTTCTATATTTGTTTTGACCTTTTAATCCACCTTGATTGTTTTTCTCATGACCAATTATAAAAATTAAACTTCCATCTTGTTAAAAATTAAACCAACTTAATAAAAGTTGATAATAATCACCACCATAAAGCCCCAGTAAGTATGCATTCTAGAAAAAAGCTTTCCAAGTAAGTTTTAATGCTGTTTGTTCACCAGATTCAAGATATAACAAGATCTGGTGAATTTCTTCTGCAGTTAAACCTTTTTTGATTGATCAATTTTACTTAGCCCTTGATCTTGTAATTCCATATTTTTTCTATCTACAACATGATATAATATAGGAAATTGAAATCTATCATTGATATTTATATTCTTAATAGCAGAAACTTCAAAAAAGTAACAATGAAGTGAGGTATAAGCAAATACAATTGATTCTGCTTTATATGGTTTTCCATCTTGTTGCTTCATATCTGCAAAAAATTCACACAATTCTTGTTCAAGCTGATTTTTGTTATTAAGTGTTTGAATATCATAAGAAATATTCTTTTTATTATGATATTCTTGTAAACTTCGAACCCATTTTTGTGTACAGGCATTAGTGTTTTTAATTCTGGATTTATTTATATAATGTTGAACATTATCTGCAGTTATATTATTAGGATCATTAGATGTACTAAATTCATGAGTAGATGTAAAATTATTTGACGAAGACATTGGGAAGAGTTAATTTTTTTTTAATTGCTTTTTTTTTTTTTTATTTAAAATTTTACGCTTATCAGTTACATCACTTCTATTAAATAATAATACAAAAGTATAATTGAACCGTGGAATAAATCAGTTATTGCCCGCTTCGCGGTCAATAACCAATACGTATTAATCCAATTGTATATTACCACGTATAATTGCCATACTATGAACAATCTGTATATATGTCGTACGTCGGAACGAAATTATTATAGATTTAGAACCCACTTAGGTTGGAACGGAATTCCAAATGTAATCCAAATTGATACGAAATTTGAAAGCAACTTAAGCCGATTTTATATTTAGTACTATATAATCGATAAATATAATAGCAACTTAAGTTGACATTAAATTCAATACTACTGTATAATAAATCATGATATATTGTCACAAATCTTTCATTATTTCTTTTTTTTTAGTTCACTTTTTCATTCGTTGCAACTCGCTCTACCTGATGACTGAATATTAAGATTATCCATTTTTACCCGTAATGTATTCAAAGAATTTCTTTCCAAATATTTTAGTAATGAGTCGGCAAATAGGCAACATAAAACTTTACGTGAAAACTTTTTTGTATTAAGGTTTTACAAGATTCAGCAAATACAAAAATCGGGGATGCAAAAAAATTGTTATTTGGCAAAAAATACACTTGCAATACGTGATTAAAATAGTATTTTTCAATGCTCATAAGTAATTGAAAAGAATCTATTATGCAATTCTCTTCAAAAGTAGGTAATTTAAATGCAATTGCAAAATGCATAAGACAAAAATCGCTGTAAATGTAAAAATAAATATACCCTGTATGAATACTTGCTATTCCACTAATCATAGAGTAAAAATTTCGTGTCAAGCTTTTAAATTTAATTAATTTGCAATGCACTGTGTTATGAATAAATCCTATCTTAGTGATTAAAATTCCAAAACAACGTACTCGATAAAATACCCATAATTTTGTTGTAAGTTAAATTGGAATTCTTTAACGACTTGAACACATTTTAGAATTCTACAACAATCTATGTTTATTCGGAATCAACCTAGGTGGATTCTAAATCTTAATAGTTCCATTCCGACGTACGACATATATACATAAACAAGCTATGATACTGTACTTATATGATATAAAAAAGTAAATCTTATAACGATAAGCTTCATTTGTCGAAATCAAGTGAAGACTAATTCTGATAGTTCAGCAAAAATGTAAGGTCCACGCTCCAGTCGACAATACAGATAGAACCGGGAATAAATCAAGCAATTATACATTAAAAATAGATTAAACTTATAACGATAGGCTTCATATTTGTGAAAATCCAAATAAAGTGAAATCGGACAATTTAAAAAAAGAAAAATTAGCGCTAATAATATTCAATTTGTTAATACAAGCAGAATCTTGAATAAAACAAATAAAAAACAAGGTACATATAACAAAGCCGCGACAATATATACGTAGTAAGGTCTTACATTTAAATTATTATTATTGTCCAGGCAAGGAAATTAAATATTGTAAAATAACTCCATATCTGATATACAAATGTAGAAATCCTGAGGAACGATCATCCGATCAGATGCTCAGAATTGCAGACTCCGTTCCTGGTATAGAACGTGAACACATATGCACATCACATATTTCAGTCCCAGGAATTCTAAAAATAGAGGTCGTCTAAATTGTCTAGTTTATAAATTGATTATATACTAACAAATTTGTAAATTAAAAATCACGTGACATATATAAATTACTATATACCTGGCTTTAGACGATCCCCTAAAATAGATTATTATACAGTAATTCCATAATTTATTTTTTTATAACTACAGGGTTTTCCCTATCCAATGAAATCACTTAACGTTAATTGCAATAAATACTTTATATCATCAATTAGTTATCTAGATATTCATATTTAATTTTACTTATCAAATTCGTAAAATTAATTTTGGTAAATTCCCTGATTTGGTAGTGTTCTTTTGAATTTCTTTTTTTAGATAAAATTTCCTCATATTTAATTAAAGAACCATTTAGAGGTGCGAACTGAAACTCAAGAAGGAAACTACAGCAATCGGGTTTCAGAGTTAACTTGTTTTGAAAATAAGCAGGATTTTGAAAAGTCCTATTTTTGTTTTGAAATTTCGAAATCAGAAAATAAAAAGGAGATATAATAAATAATTTTTTGATGATGTATATTATATCTTGTATATATAAATAGACTTGCAAATAAAAATAAATAGGATTTATAGATCGCTGATTACAAAATTAATATGTCGCTAATTTAATTCGAAATCAGAAACCTGAACCTTAAGTCTGAAACCCTAATATCACTTGATGATCTCAATTTCTTTTTTGAATTTCAGTAACAACAGGTTTACTTCATTATAGATCAAAATTAATTTTATTAAGGCAGTTTTTAAGCATCTTCGTCAATGGACTCAAAAAAGAACCAACCAATCTGATTTTTTATTGAATTCATTGATGTTTTAGTTACATAACTGATGTGCATTAAATTATTATCAATGATTTTTAAAATTAGGTTCGTTTAAAATCTAATTATGCATACAGTCAGACAAATGGAGAATAATTTCATTGACTTGCTCATTGAGAATGATTTCTGAATAGAGCCAATAGTAACCATCCAATATTGATCATTGACTGTTCTTTTAAACAGATCTAGTTATCGATTAGAAATTAGAACCTTCTTCTTCATCGGCTTTGTTAAATTTTTCTATTGGAACTGTTGGATCCATTGGTTTCATTCATTTCATTGGATCTATTCGCTCTACTGGTTACTTTCTCAATAAATACACTCATCTTGTTTAATAATTTTTTTAACCATAATAGATCTTACTAACTATTGCAGTACATATATATATATTTAAATTAATTTGCAGTATACTTATTATAATTTCTAATATGAGTTACCGTAAAAAAATTCTGTTATAGAACTTATTATTCCAGTGATTATGGTATGTGTTAATTTGGTTTGTATTTGAATTGTGTTTTTTATATTGAAAATTCTGACACAGATCTTACTCACTATTTTAGCAAACACAGTATATGATTGAGTTAGTTTGCATTGGATTATTATAAAAAATCTTGTGGCTTTCTATTTTATTTTATTTGGCTTTTTTTTTAAAAAAAATAATATTTAATTTCTCTTGTTTTTTTTTACTTATCCAGCACTGATAATACTACATACTGGTTTAAAATGGTAATGAATATGAAAATATATTTAGCTAAACATAGAATCATCAGAGGCTAGAGAGAAGTGGTAGTGCTAAATTCATGTATATTATCCAGTGATAATCTTGTACAAAGTGATAGAGCATTCATTATCGCTGACTTTATCTTAGATCACATGTATGGGTTGTTTTTGTATTGACTATTTTTTGATTTCTGATAGGATCTTGTTGTATGCAGGTTTTTAGTATGTATGTATTAGTATTATCGTTATGTTCACGTATGAATGATTAGTATTGAGTTTCAATGAATAGCATGATATGGGTAATGATCGAGGAGTTTGTGCATGTGATAGTAGGGTGCGGATTAATGCAAATAGAAAATTGATACATATAAGGTGGGCATTTAGGAGCAAATAGGTCAACATTCATTTGTATCATTGTCTTGAAAAAAGCTACCCAATCATCTCTAGCACCCCAGTGCAGAATGGTATAAGACTTAGTTTTCAATGTGGATAGGAAGGCTTCGTAGCTGCAGTGGCAGTGCAAAGACCTTGGTTGTGATATTTAGGCTGCACAGCTGCAATAACCTCTTGTAGCTGATGTTCAGGCTAATATACCTGCTCCGATCCTCATCTTTTAACTATGTGATTATTTGCTGTTTTACATATGCTGTATCGATACTGTCTCCTTCTCTGGTAGCATAATTGGTTTGGGCTATTATTTAATGAGGACTTTTTACTTGGACAAAACCATAGGGTCTCAAGTGTTGGGTTTGGCTGTACCATTGAGAAGGACTTTAATAGATCAGATTTAATGTGCTTGTAAAGGGTAGAGACTGCTAATGATAACTGGCCTATTCCCATATGTTTTTTTTTTCATAGCAATAAAGTCTCTGATCGAGCAATAATAATATAAAAAATCTATTTGTAATGCAGCACGTTTGATAGTCAATAGAAACGAAAACAAACCTATTTCTGTACTGTAATCTGTTATCCCCACATTTTGTCAATGAGAATACCTATTGCCTTTGTATAATGATATACATTAACAAATGAAGAGTTGATGAGTCGACGGTGAAATCGTAGTATAGATAATGTAGTATTCACTTGTTTGATATCCGACTTAATCACAAGTATTTTGACTTTCAAATTTTTGTTTGATTGTGCCGAGCACTACACATGACAATAATACATTATGATTTTATTGGTGTTGCAACCCTCCATAAATGCACACTCTGAAACTGGTCCCGACGACTTGCATTTAGGGAGGTCTGACTGTACAATAAAAATTATAACTTGAACTATTCAGAAAGTCAATTATTATATACTGTCAGACCTCTCTAAGTGCACCCTCTATAAGTGCACACCCTCTCTAAATGCACGCTCAAGTGCCGGCCCAAATATATATTTGACCTCCATAAATGCACTTTTTCTTATTATTCTCTATATACACGTTATTAAAGTGTGGTCCCAAGGGCGTGCACTTAGAGAGATCTGACTGTACATATATGCATTGATGATTTTGTAATGTTCTGCTGTAACTTCTCAGTAATATACATATGCCTAAACATATATAAATAAGCAGTTCGTTCATTAAAATGGGATAAAAAATAATCGCTTAGCATCCACATTCCAATAACTCAAACCGTTTAACCTTTTTTTTAATAAAAAAAAAAACATGAACAATATAAATGTTAACTTTCAATATTTTGACGGCAGAAGATTTCATAATGTTAAAAGCTCAAAGTATTTATTACCTAATGATAAACAAGAGTGTGATAGATTACTATTACAACATCTGATGTGGCAAAATTCCTGGAATGGTAACTTTTCCGCTCCTGTCAAAAATATTCTTGCAAACAAAGGTTCTAAAGTTCTTGATGTAGGGTAAATGAATTTTATAAATAAATATAATTCTATAATTTATATTTAATATCTAATTATTTTTACATATATTTATTTTAAATAGTTGTGGACCTGGAGTCTGGACTCTTGATATGGCAACTAATTTTCCTGAAGTTCACTTTACTGGTGTAGATTTTGCTCCAATTCAACCAAATGAAAATAATCCAGAAAATGTTACCTTTATCCAAACGAATGCATTAGAAGGCTTACCGTTCGAAGATAATACTTTTGATTACGTATTTCAGCGATTTTTAAATGTTGGATATCCTAGAGATAAATGGGTCTTTATTATAAATGAATTGGTTAGAGTGTTAAAGCCTGGAGGTTATTTAGAGGTATTGTTATATTAAACTATAAGATAATTATTATATACGTATATAAAATTGACAAAATCGTTATTGTATACTTTTTTCCATTTTTACAGATGATGGAAGATGATATTGAACCTGGAAACATGGGGATTATGACAAATAAATTAGTGACAGCCAGTAAGGAATTCAAAATATATATTTATTAACAATATCTATCTATATATATATTTAATATTTTTTCTTTCGATATTGATTATTTTTAGTGATCGATGATTTAGAAAGTAATGGGCTGGACACAAAAATTTGTTACAAGTTACAAAAGAATTTAGAACAAAATAAAATGCTCAAGAATATTTGTTGTGAACAAAGAATTATTGATTCAAACACTACTGATATTGGTAACATGGTTTGTATAATTTCAATTTTGATCTTAGTTATCTAAATTAATGATATTATTAATATTTGAATTTCAATATATATTTATTTATAACAGCATATTACAAATTGTATTGAACAATTTCAAGGATTTAAAATAAAAATTTCAAAGCTTCAAAATATTATAGATAATGAATTTGATAAAATTCTTGATGCCGTCTATGAAGAATTTATTGAATTTAATTCTTTCACTCTTACTAAACGTGCTTACGCTCAAAAGATTGAAGAGATTTAAGCTTGTTAATAAATAATATTTGTAAGATTTCAAATAGATTTATTAATTAGAAATAATTTAGATTTAACAGATGTGAAATTCACCGACCTAAGAATTTTTAGTGTTAGGGTGAAATTTTAAGATGGAGGGGTTTTTTTATATAACATAATGTAGATTAGGTATTAGGTCCCAATCTTAGTTCTCGTAAGGTTTTTAGGGGTCTTGAACATTTTTACTCGATTGATTCTGTTTACATAGTACGTTCTAGTGAGCGTTAAATTACTCAATTCATTTATTTAGATATTTAAATCGTTCCTATATAATTATGTTGTATAACTTTTTTTATATTTTAATAAATTTTTACAATTCATTTATTAATATTTTATTTATACAATTAGATCGTTTTGTTTGTGACTATTAATTGGCATTTGGGGTTTTTGCCTTGAAAATGACCCTACGGCAATAGAATTTTTTTTTGAGTAAACAAGTGTGTAACAAAGCTAGTTGACTACGTGGAGTCAACTGATCGACCAAGCACGGTTACACACAGCAATCGGCCATGCGCTCGTAGCACCGCACAGGTAAAATGAGCATCAATAGGGAGCCTTCCTATTGCTGTCAGATTTTGGCTCCAAAGGAGGGCAATAGGATATCAATAGGACAATAGGGTATCAATAGGGTATCAATAGGGTACCCGTAGGGTACTAACTATCCAATAGGGTCTTTACCGATTGTAAACTATTTAATCAATAGTTACCAATCGGGGACCAATAGGATACCAATAGGGTATTAAACCTTCAATAGGGTTAATCAATAGCAGTGTTGTTATTTGGACATAGAAACTGTTGGATTTGGACCAATTAGACTTAAGGCTTGGGCTAAATAGACTTAAGGCTAAGGCTAAAAAAAGTATTGGAGATCAATGGTGTTACCATCAGTTTGGAGAGCAATAATCCAATTTAGCTCCGATTTTTAACTAGGTTTGGGATTTATAACACTTATACATGTAGTATGATGTCACGAAACTCTTAAGCTGGGTCGGGGCTATCACTTAACAGATCAAACTTAATTATCGGGAAGGGTTATTATGTGCAATAAAATAAGAAATGCAATACGACAATAAAGAAATATCTATTACAATAAAATAAAAAGAATAATAAACTCAATTACAAGGGAAAGGGGGAATCCGATTCTTAATATAAACTATATGATTAAGACATTGTGGGTTCTAAATCATAAGGGGAGACTTATAGTCTAAGGATGTGTAGTCTAGGACGCATAGTCTGAGGAAACTTAACCAAGGCGAAAACCCAGGCCTTAAATACCTTTTACTTAATAAGAGCTACTGCGTTATCTTTAATACCGGGCTTATCATCTCTTCAATCAATATTCAGGATGTTAACAACTCGCATTAGATAGCCACCAAAGATGGCTCACAGTCGTTGTTCCAAATATTTCCTCAATCGTTGTGACAAATATTTACTACAATGCTTACTTTCTATCTAATGTTTATCGAATGATAGGAGTAATTAATCATCGGGATTACTAATTTGCATCTCTAAGCATTCATCCACCGGATTGATCTGTGCCCTAAACCTTCATCTGCTTCACAATATTCTTGTGGCTTCTGGTTATTTGGGCTTTTAGTAGCACCAAATCACAGCCAGGCCACAGGCTTAAAACTTAAACTGTGGCAATAGTCACCAATCAGAACCTCCTAGTATAACCACCAAAATCAGTTATGTGGTTGCTATTAAATCTAATACTTTGCCAAATCTCATAACTCTTCATTTTTTGTCACATTATAAATCGAATTTATAAACCTTAAATTTTAATTGTAGTATAAAATTTTATTGTATAAAAAAAAAATTGCAATATTCGCTCGAAATTGTTTAGTGACCTTTATTATCTAATTTTACATAATTGCCGGGTGGGTGAAAAATCTCTAAAATAAAACCTTTTTTTACTGTCTCTGCTAACTTCAAAAATAATATATCCGGGTAGTAAAAAGTATCTTAATTACTAAATGACATTTTAATATTGACAGGGATAATAAAAAGATTCTGTTTAGAAACTTTTCACCCACCAGGTATAAAATTAATATTTATGAATTTGAATGTCAAGTTCAGGTTTGTTGTGTCATTTACTATTTTTTGAATTGGTTTGAAGTTTGATTCAATGTTTTTCACCAATTTCTTTGCTGAAAAAGATCTTAAGACTTTTCAAAAAAGCAAACGCCTATACCAGAATAGTATCGATATTAGATACTTCTATTTATTACGTTGTATAATTAATTTTAATAAAAATAATAAATAAGCTAACCTCAAAGATTTTTTTATATTGTTCGATAATTTCCAATTAGTTTCATTTTCTTCATTTGCCCTATAAAAATGATCGTTTAAAAAATGTTCTAAAAACATTCTAAAATTATTTAGTTGTACGTTCAACTTTTTGTTTAGTACTGTATTTGTTTGAAAAAATGTTTGGAATGGAGTCGATTTTCCGAACAATTTTCCAATAAGAATTTATAAATTTTGTACAAACATTATGTTTAAATGGTTTTTGTTTAATTATTAACTTGTTAATATCATAAGATTGCACGTTATTATAAAAATTATACTCAATATATATTTTATAGTTATCACGATATTATGTATATCGTCCATTATTTTATTCAAATTTTGTACAAATAATATGCAGATTACATACGTACAATTGTAAATATGGTTCTACCCCAAAATCCCGAAGGCCATTTCCCCGAAAGAACATAATATTGACCAAATTAGCCAGCATTATAACTAATGCTGGCTAACTTTGTCGGTATTGTGTCCTTTTCGAGAATCTATCTTTCGTGATTTTGGAGTAGAACCGTAAATATTGCTATACCATCATAATTCACTAAAACTTTGCGCAGCTGTATAAAATTAATTGCTAGAAAATTTTTTAAATATTATTTTAAGCTTGATAAACATGTACAGTAGTATAATTAAATAAACGATCTTTTCATCGATTCGATGAATTTACTTGGATTTTTTCGTTTTGCCTGCAAAGTTAGAATTAGTTATTTTAATTTACATATATACTTTAGCCATAATACGTTTAAATCATACCGTTATTCTTTCCTTTACTAGACACTTTTGAAGATCGTCCTTTATTTGGTATAGCATTATCACCCGTTCTTATAACTCTTGTAGTTTCAATACTTCAGTTTGTGTAGGCATTCTATTTACATGATATTACAAATTTATAAATCAATTCTCATACGATTTAAATTCAATAGAAAAGCATACCTAGAAGCACGGCTACGAAGTTTGCGGCCAGAATTCTGAGTGCCTCTACTATATTTGTTTAATTTGTTAACATTTTTGTCTTGGATTTCATAGTCAGCATTTGATATTGAAGAGTTGTAAATGGAATGCGAGAAGGAGATGTCACGTCCATATTATTTACTGTGTCTGGAGTTCCAACATCTAAAGGTTGATCTAGATTGATAGTCTGAATACATAACAGAAAGTTAATGTTTTTACATAATATAGGATTTTAATTTATATACATAAGTTCAAGGCTAATTACGGATTTCTCGGTTTTATTTGATGATGAAGAAGTAGAAATTCGAGAGGTCAATTGTGAGGTATTATTTATATCAACAGATGGGCCTTAATTTTTGAAAAAAATTATAATTATAGAAACTAATAATTAATATAAAAATTTTTTTTACCTGTCTTTCTTTTCTTGTCATTGTGAGATAATTGATCTTTCATTTTGCATTTTGCTATATCCTCTATTAAAAAAATAAATTAATTAAGTCTTATATTTTTATTTTAATATATACGTTTGTTGTTAATTTCAGTCATACCTCTTTATAATTACACTTTTGGGACCATAGGAACTTTTTTAAAAAAATATTCTTGTAAAGAGATATGCTTATATAGAGGTCTTTTGTTATATATTAGATAGTAATTTGGCATAAATATAGGTGTGATTATAAAAAGGTTTTTATATGATGTGATTATATAGGAGGCGATTATAAAGAGGTATGACTGTATTCCTCGCATTATTTGTCTAATAGCCCAATTGCGAGTTTTAGATAGAAAGTTTAAATTTTTGTATTTAAACTAAAATAAAGATTACCGTAAAGTATGGAAAATAAGCACAGCACCCTCTACCCTACTTTTTTCAATTTCAGATTAACGGAAATAAATTGATTAAAGATTTTATTGCTATTCCGCTAATCTGAAATTGAAAAAAGCAGGGTAGATGGTGCTGTGCTTATTTTCTGTACTTTACGGTAATTTAATTATTTTAAATAATGAAACCAATTAAATTATAATTTTAAAACAAAATTATAAAACAGCTGTAACAACTCTTTCTGATGATCCTTTGTACCAAAATCAAACCAAATTTTTTTTGAAAAAAAAACAATATACTATGGTAGAAAAATAGAATATAAAACTGACTAAAACCATAAACAGCACCTGTTGTTTAGAGATAGTTCTTATATACTATTTGCCAATAGGCCCAAAGTTTATCACTCACCATGAGGATGGCACTTGTTATTTAGAAGTAGTTCTTATATACTACTTACTAACAAGTTCAGGGTTTATCACTACTAACAAGAAAATTAGCAGTATGTTTGGCTCTATATATTATATTACTTTTTTTTTTTTAAGTGCTAAGGTGACCTCTATGGCTAGAAACTTTTTATTAGATTATTAACTTTAAATTATAATTATAATAAAGATATATCAAGCTATATGTATACTTTTGGTGCTTAATTTAAGTAGCTTACCCAAAGGTTTTACACTATTTGCTATATCTGTACCCAACTATGAAAAATGTTTATTTAAACTCTTTGGTTATAATTGCTATTCACTCCCAATCTAACCAAAATATAACTTACTATTCATTCATAGATTTTGTAATATTTGTAGATTTTGCACTCATCTTAAGACTTATTTACTATTACTGACTAATCTATTTATAAGGTAAACTTAATAGAATAGTTCATATTCCAATCATGTTTTTATCTGTATGTTTAGTAACTTTTTTTAACTAGTATCTGTTGTGCTGCCACCACTAGATCCATGTCTCATAAAATACTGCCATAACCCAGTCTGTATTTCAAGTCATAAATTTTTTAATTAGTTTTTTATTATATACTTCTTGATATTATAAGATTTATAATAATTCCAGCATCTATATTTAGATTTCTTTGTCTTCAGTTTCTTTACTAGTCTCTCTCTTACTTCTAACTAGCAAGCTAGAAGGGTTGGTTTATTCAAACTTTAATTGCTTTATAGTCATTCTTTACTTAGTATATACTTCTAAAGTATGTCTTTTTTCTCTAGTAACAATCTGGCAATTTGACTGGTAAATTCTTCTACTTAAAAATTTTATTGTTTGGTTTTCTAATTTAGTTAACTATTTCAAATTTAGTCTTTCTGTAATACTATTAGAGATTACTGCTATTTGCCAACTCAAAACTTGCCAAATTGGTTTTAGTAATTCTGGTTCTCTAGATTTATTGTGCCAAAGCTCTTATTTAAAATAATATGACCAAAATTACAAATTTTTAAACTCAACTAATTATTATAACTATTAACTATAATATAGACCTAATTTTTAAAATTATTATCTATAGGATTTGAACTCTAGACTTGCTACTTGGAGGTGTGACAACTTCTTCACTTCACTAAGTTGTTACACCCTTTTTATATATTATATTGCTTTTTAAAAAAAATACTTTCTTTTAAAAAGAGAATAAGAACTATTTCTATACTATTACTTACTTGCTTATTTAACAAAATTTTTTAAAAAGTAGATAAATAGCTTACTCTTTCTAATATTGTTAGTTGAAATATTATATTTCATCAAATATTTAGAAAATTTTGTGTTGAAATATATTTCAACAAAATATTATTTTTTGGCAAAATATTAAAATTCTAAATTTGATGAAATAACTAGATAGTTAACTAAATAAATACTATATAACTAAATGCTTAAATTAGTGGTAAAATAAAATCTTTAAATTTATTATCTTTAATATTTTATTGTTACAACAAAAATTAGATAACTATGCAGTGTAATTATGCTAAAAAAACTAGAAATATGAAGTATATTGATGATAGATATTTTTGAATATAGAATACCTATATATATATATTTATATATTTTATCTCTTTGACAGTCTCATTGATATCTTTATTAAAAGATAAAAGAAATACATATACTATATATACTCTAATATCTACATATAGCAGGTCTAGCATTGCTTAGTCACTTGATAAGCAACCACTAGCATGACCTGTTACACTACCTTCCAAAAGAGGTAGAAGACTTTGTCAGCCCTGTTAAAAGCCAAACCAAAATAACTTAGTGCCATTTTTAATAAAATTCTTAATTATACTCTTTCATCTTTTATAAAAACCTCTTTAATAATTGAAATTTCTTCACAAATAGTTGTAGTCAAACCCTGGAGCTTTTTTCCTTGCTTCTTCCTTTTTTTTAGTTTTTTTTTCTATTGGTTTTTCTCTCTTCTTTTCAACCAATATTATACTATTTTGTTTTTCTATATTGCAACATAATAGCACCTTTTTTTCTAAATAAAATCATAAAAGCCATTTTGCCAAACATAAACCAGAGTTTTGATACATGTCTTTAATTCTTTTTTAGAGCTTAGAAACCCACCCAGGTTATGATAAGTATCATTTGTGTAGAACCTTTTAACAAAGTTTTTTCTTACTTTTATTTTTTTCTCTAATGCTTCTTTTAAGAGTATTTCTCTAAACTTTTTTAGACTTAGGCTTTTGCATTGTAATTGGACCTGGATAGTGCTATCTGGATCACCCGTGGGTGGATAGATGATCCAGGTGGAGTTTTGGCCACCTGGGTGAAAGTGGGTAGAACACCCAACGGGTGACCTGTAAACAATAATTGCAACTTTAATCCAAAACACTCATTCAATAAATTGGTGGTAAAATTTTAAATAGTACCATTTTAATAAAATTTCTAACCAATCCAAATAAAATTACTATTTTATTTTTCAGCTGTTTTTATAAATTCTAGAACAACTGAAAAAATTGCTAATGACCAAATTGATAAATTACCAATTTAGAATCAATAAGTAACTGACTTTAGACGCTTATCAATCCAGTCATCAGCAATTTTTTCAGTTGTTCAAAATTTATGAAAATAGCTATAATGCTTAGGTAGGTTAGTCATACCATAAAAATGTTGTTGTCTCATAATTATCAATCTCTTCCAACACAATAATTCAAAATGCATTATATTTTAAATACTAAAAAGTTAGAATTATGTAAATTTAAAAAAACTACTAATGCTAATATTTTTAATGTAATGCGTAATTAAATTTTGGGTGGAAGAGGTCAGTTGTCATGAGACTGTGACATTTTTATGGCATAACTAACCCACCTGTAATGCTCTATTTCCACTCAAGTTCTATCTGGATAGCTCATAGGTCCACCCACAGGTGACCCAGATGGCTTTATTTTTATGGGTCCAATCACTACTTTCACAAATAGTATTAGAAAACTTGTGCTACACCATTTCTGTTGTGACTATTTCAATATTATGCTAGTCAAATTTGTATAAATCACATTCAAATAGATAATCAGATAATTCAACTACTCTTGTATTACAAATAATACAAAGATCTTGTTTGTATAAGTCTGGTTTACTCTCTTTTAACTTCTTAAGAACTGATAGCTCATTTAATAAACACTTGAGCCAGAAAGCCAGACACTTGCTTTTTTCTAGCGATATACATCTTGTACTTGACAAGTTGTGAAGATGTAACAAGAATGTTTGCTATATAATACTTTCTTTTCTCTTACTTGTATTAATTTTGTTTTCTATTTTCTGTACTGTCTTGACTATTGACCATCTTGTACCAGTTTTAGCTTGAAACACCTTTTGTAGAAATTTTCTTTAATTTAACTTAATTACATATTGCTTCTACTTTAGTAGACACTTTAGCTATGAGTTGTTTTCTGCAATAAAGCTGACATGAGTTTTATGCTTTGTTTCATCTTTAGCTAGTTTGTCTGCTAAATTGTTCTATTTGTCATCACTATAACCTTTAACTCTTTCTAGTGTTAGGTTTAACTTTTTAACTGTAATTATATCCTTAATTTTTACCAACAAGCTAAAGTTCACTTGTTTTATTTATTTCTTTGTCTTACAAAGTGGGATACTTTTTTTAATTTCTGCTATTGCTGCTGCACTATCTGATCTAATAACTATACTACTATAACTAGGTACCAACAAAACTGCTAGAAATACTGCTACTAATTCTGCTTTAGTTAATGATAGCCAATCTTCAGCTCTACTATAGCCTTTTTCTATTATCATATTTTTAATCTCATTAACTTGTACTCAACTGGTACTTATTTGTGCTTCATCATCCTTTAAACTTAGAGATCTGTCAGTGTATATTAGTGTTTCATCATTAGCTCTTTCTTTATTTCTTTGTAATTGTTCTAAAAGTAGGTTTTCTGTTGACTGGTTTAAGTTTTGTTACTCAATTAGTTTTATATCTAACTCCTTTACTTGTACTTAAAATAGTTGAACTTCTGTTTTCTCTATTACTGGCCTCTCTATGTCTATTATTTGCTAAAAATCTGCTATTGTTAAGAAGTAAGTTTTTTCTTTCTTCTTAACTAGAGAACTTGGAAGACGTGTAATAACTTTATTTTTCTTAATTTACATATATACTATATTATTATTTTCCAATTGGGTCTAA